TGGATATGTACCATTTCTTCTTTATCCATTTATCTGTTGATGTACACTTAAGCTGCTTCCATATCTTGGCTACTGTAAACAATACAGTGATAAGCATAGGGGTGCATATATCTTTCTGAATCAGGGATTGTTTTCTTGGGGGGAATTCTTAAAAGTGGAATTATTGGGTTAAATGGTATTTTTATTTTTAGTTTCCTTAGTAACCTCCATATGCTTTCCACAGTGGTTGCACCAATTTACATTCCCATGGATGGGTATAAGTTTAATAATTTTAACTTACATTGTCTTAGATAACAGGGTTATTTATGAGTTAAATGCACAGCGTATGTAAACTTACCTAAGATGGTGTATGGCAATAGTAGTTCAACAAATGCAAACTCATTTAGTTATTCTTTTATTCAAAGAAAGTGGTTCTGTTCTTTCTCCCTCATAACAACTTTCTAATAATGAATTATCCAAAAGTAGATGATGATGTGATAAGTACCTGTTGTCTTCAGCAGTAGAAGCACTCAAAGAACCAGAAGAGCCACTGAAATGTAATGCTTATGAATGACGTCATCTGATAGCTCATGAACATTAATGAAATCTGACTTGCCTTCTTCATTTAAATGCCAGTGATTCTGCACCTTGACATATTAAGACTCAGTCTATTCTCCACCAATACATAAAGTAGTGGCTTCCCCAAGTACTCTTCCCTCAGGTGTTTCAATATGGGAAACAAAGCCCAGTCCCAATGGAAAAATCATCCAGTGCTTTATTCATGTCTAAAATAAACCAAGTTCTACCCCAGAATGATATATGTACTTTTTCCTATTTCTCCAAGTACAACTAAAAACCTTGGACATTATATATAAAACAAACATAAGAAGACTTTGAGAGTTGGGGAGAACAAGGCAAACAAGCTAGGTACCCGACAAATAACACGGTGGTGAATTCTCTAGGTTTTCCTTCTTTTCTTTATAAATCCCAGACTTGTTGCTGAAAAAGTCAGCAACACAGAAGTGCCAGCACAGATGAGAAAAGCCCCCACCAAAAGTCCATACTCTCTAGCTAAAGTAGCAGGAAACAGCCTAGCAAGGCAGAAAACATTTAGATAATAACCACTGTACTGCATGCAGTCAAACACCACAGAAAACTCTATGGCCCAAGTGGAGAGCTTACACTTGCATACTGGCCAGGCTGTAACAGGGTGGCCCAAGCCTCCACCAGAGTAGTGTCAGAGAAGGAATTGGAATGTTCATCCCCACCTAGCAGTCTGAACCCCTCATTTTCCTCCAACCCCATGATGTCAGTGGAGACTGGATTGGGAGCCTGGACTTCCTCCTTCATACAATCTGTAAAGAAGTACCTTTACTTTACACACTGTGGTGTCAGTGGAGACTACCTGGGAAGCAATAACAAGGTACTCCTTCTCCTCCCAGGAAGACTGGTGTAAGTGGAGGCCTCCTGGGACTCAGTGGGGAGCCAGAATTCCTTCCATCACCCAGCGGTAATAAGGAACCCCTCCCGTCCTCCAGTATCAACAGAGATTGAGGGAGAAACCTGTACTTCTGTCCCCACTTGGTAATAATGTAGTGTCCTTTAGTGGTATCAGAGGGAGCCAGCTAAGACAGCAGGTTCATAAACAAGATCCAGGGTCTCCATAAAACCTAAAATATCCTGATTCAGTCAAAAGCCACTTGCCATTCTAAGAATCAGGAAAATCTTAACTTAAATAAAAAAGACACTCAGTAGATGCCAGAATAAAAATGAGAGATTTTAGATATCTGACAAAGACTTTCAAGCAGTCATCATAAAAATGCTTTAGTGAACAACTGCAAACATTCTTAAAACAAATGAAAAATGTCAGCAAAGAAATGGAATGTGTGAAAGAGACAAAAGGCAAGTTTAGAACTGAAAATTAAAATAACTAAAAATTTAAAACTTAATGGATGGGCTCCACAAGCTGAGGAAATAAACTGAAGATAGAACAATAGAAATTACCCAATATGAATAACAAAGACAAGTAGAGGAAAAAACAAAACAGAGCCTCAGCTTCCTGTGGGACTGTAACAAAAGGCCTAATATGCATGTCATATGATTCCAAGGAGAGGAGGAATTGGGCAGGCCAGAAAAAGAGCTCAAAAAAGCAATGACTGAAAACTTCAGCAAAAGATATTAACCTAAAAATTCAGAAAGGCAAGCAAACTCCAAACAAGAAATCCACACTAAGACATATCATAGTCCAATATTTGAAATTAAACATAACAAAAGAAATCTGAAAGCAGCAAGAAAAATAACTTATCTATAAGGGAAAAACAATGCAAATGACAGCAAAACTATGAAAGCCAGAAGGAAGTGGCCCCACTTTTAAGTGCTGAAAGAAAAGAACTATCAATCCTGATTTCTATATATGGTGAATTTATCTTTCAGAAATGGAAGGGAAATGAAGACATTGGGTGAAGGTAAGCAAGGGAATTTGTCACCAGCAAACCTACCTTAGAAGACCAGCTAAAGGAAGCTTTCTAAACAGAAAGGCAATGATAAAAGAAGGAAATTTGGAAACTCAAGAAAGAAGAAAACCATGGAAAGGGAAAAGTGTTGGTAAATAAAATACATCTTCCTTTTTCTCTTGAGCTTTCTATATGTGCTTGACAGTTGAAGCAAAAATTGTAACAGTATCTGATATTGTTCTGCAGGTATGTAGAAAAATATTTAAGACAATTATATCACAAAAAGAGGATAAAGGGAGACATACAGGGAGGTAAGATTCCTATACTTCAAAGTGGTAACATCTGCACCGAGATACACTCAAAAATACTGTAGATAAACCAAAATGAATTTTTTAAATGATTAAGTAATCCATAGGAAGGTAAAACACAGAAAATAAAGGAAAACAAGATAAAGAGAAAACAAAAAGTAAAATGGCAGATTTAAGCCCCAATTTATCAATAATTACATTAAATGTAAATGGCCTAAATAAAACCAAATGCTTTAAAACTGAGGGGTTTCTGGATTACAGAAACAAAATAGCCTACACCGTTAGCAAAATGCATCCAATATTTATATTTGTATATAAATTGCACAAGTATTATGGAAATATTTTATACAATTAATTTTTGATGCAATTCCTTTTTTATGATTAATGGTATCATACAAAGCTTGTACATACTGTAAATAATTCACATAAAGCTTTCACCAGAATCCATGCCTGGCACAATCAAGCCTTCATGGTAACTGCTATTATGAGGACAGTGAGTGAGTGCAGCTCTTCATCATTTGCTTGCTTTGTAAGTCAAGTTTCCACAGGGCTCTCTGAAGAGCCTTACTCCTCCTAATATATAAACTTATCTTAAGTAACCCCATCTAAGACCATAGCTTGAGCTGTCACTCACACCAGGACCAGCAAATACTCAGTACATGTGCTACAAATTCCCCCTTCAACCAATCTCCAGATTTGGCATGCACCTCAGTACTCTCTAGGTAGCCATTTTAACCAATCAGTTGGAATTTGAAATATTTCTTTCCATTCTGGTTAGATACTAATGAGTGCCTATTTTGAGTCCACTAACAATTTTTTTCCTGACTAAATCTCCCAAATCATTCTAATGATCCATCATAGAAGTCCATGGTGAAATCTGCTTGAAATTTAAAAAATGGGAAAAGGAATTGGAAAAATATAGTGATAGGCAGAACAGAAATAGACTTATAATCTTAAAAGAGACCAGCTGAGGCCTTAGAACCATTTTCCTATTTAGAAAAAAAACTCCAAGTCTTGATGGAGCCAGGATAAAGCCTCCTCAAGTTTGATGTGCTCTGGTACAAGCTCATCATGGATGAGGGATTTATTGCATGATGTATAAAAACCTCGGGAGAACATGGATTACTTCTCCCTGAGACAGGCCAGTAAGTTAATAATTCCTTAAGTTAACTGAGGATTTCTTAATTCTTTAAGTTAACAAATCATTAGCATACTAGTTGTTGCAATGCTAAACAAAAAAGAACTTTCTATTAATCTGCTATAACTGACCCATTTTTCATGAGGAGGCTGGGGTTCACAAGTGACAGAGATACAAACAGAATCTTTATCTCGCCAGTCCCAAGTTTGCACATCATTCTAAATTTTTGCCAGTTTTACTGTCATTTACACTATTGCACATAAAAATATGTGCCAATACTGCACATGCAAATACACTGCAATACAAATTTGTGCAATACCAACTAATTTTATCTAAATTCATACATAGACGTTTACAAAAATCTAGTGTAAACATAAAAAAGGTATGGGTAATTGTCTCCATCTCCCACCCCCATCCCCTCACAGTCCCCACTGGACAAAACCAGTTCTAGAGTAAGATGTCCTATCCTGTCTATGGTATGAAGAATAATGGCCTCCCAAAGATGTCCACCCACCAATTCCCAGAACCAGTAAATACGATAAATTACATGGCAAAGGGGAACTAAGGTTGCTTATCAATTGTCCTTGAAACAGAGATTATCCTTGGTCACCCAGGTAAGGCCCAATATGTTTTTAGGGTCCTTAAATGTGGAAAAAGTGAGTAGAGTCTCACAGTATCTCTGTGATATAATGTGAAAATCAACTGGCTATTCATAGCTTTGAAGATGAAAAATAGGCCAAGGAAAGTGGCCAAGAAAATAAATTCTTCCATAAACCTTCAGAAAGGTGCTCAGCCCTGCCAACAGTGAGATGCTCTTCTGACTTTTTAGCTACCAAACTGTAAAATAATAGGCTTGTGTTGTTTTAAACTACTAAGCTTGTGGCAATTTGTTGAGCAGGAGTAGCAAAACGAATATAGTCTCTAAAGGTTTACTCCTAAAGGTTCATTTCTTAAGGTGCTTTCCCATAGCCATCAAGAGTTAGAGCTTGGTTATAAAGTACCTATCAGAGAGGAATAAAATAATTATTGGTACACATACAAGGAAACCAAGCAATCCATTCCCTCATAAAATAAAAAACCCTTCTCAAAATTCAGTTCAAGAGAACATTTATTGAGTTCCTCTTAAGTGGGACATGATTAAGAAAAGGCCCCTCTTCTGTCTGGGTACATTCCTGCTACTCTATCCATCCTCAGCTGGGGTATCATATGTGCAGAAGTCTTTCGTAACTACTCAGTCTCCTAAAATGGAATGGTAGGCTGTTCAGGAGCGCAGAATCTTCTTAGGAAGTTGTGGTTTGCAGAGTGATGGTCACCGCTAATGCAAGATCTGCTTCACTTTCTAAATTGAACAAACAAACAAAAAACAAAAACAAAACGGGAGAAACAGGAGTCGCCAAGACAAACAAGAAAACCTAGTGCTCAGAAGATCCAGCCCATTTTCCCACTTCTTACTGTGATCTTGGGCTTGTAATTTAACTTCTTTACAGTTCTTATTCTCCCTCCTTCTCTATACGCCTTAAATGAGACCTTTACACACTATCCAGGTATCCAAAAGTCAAGAGTCATGCCAAGTATGAAAATTGAGACTTCCTGATTCCAAGCCTCTAGGCTTTACAGTTTTTAACTGTATGTTTTATGCATCAGAAAATCTGATATCTTTTCATCAGGCCTCCCTTAAGAAGATTCCATAGACTGAACTGGAATCTACATCCTAGTGAGATAAGAAGAAAAGAATCTTGGAAAACTCAAGAAAGGGGACTTGTTTGTCCTATGCCTATTTGATTACTGAAAATCCAGACAGTCAGACTTCGAAGGTAAACTTGAGAGAAGAAAAAAAGTGGTTTTTAAGCTCCGCTCCATATGAGACTTTATGACTGATTTCAACATCTGGCAAGTTTTAAGTTTGGAATCCTTTCCCAGTGGGTTAAATGCAACATTGAAAATGGTAGCAAATCTCTAATAAGACATCAGGGCAAGAGAGAAGAAACTTACAAACAAACACTGGGACAAACTCATTGCTTTCCATGGAGGTATAGGGTTCATCTGAAATTAAGTAAAGAAATGGTTTTAATTCATTTCCAGTGTCATCCACAACGTGTCTAACATTCCACTAACAGCCTCAAGCAGCCCGAGTAAACATCAGACTCCGCTGAGTCTGTGGCACCAAGACCTTTCCTTTCCACATGCCAAGGCCTTCGCCATGCCTGAGATCTTACCAGTGGGAATGGAACACAAATGTGCCCCATGAGGAGATCTGGTTAAAGGGCTGATTTCCACCCATATTTATAAGTCCCTAAGAGTAGCATATGGACCTGCCATATCTTCATGTGATAGAGCCATAGTCCCCTTCTCCCCCACAGTGGATTCAGCTAAGTTAACATGGTACCAGACAGAGAAGGGTCAACACAGGCAGAGGACCCGCCAGAGTCCCACTTCTTGGATCCATTCTGAAAAGCATCCCTAGAAAAACGTCCTCAAAGACAAAGAAAGAGCAAAAAGACAAAGATCTTTGGACTTACCTGGTGCCCCTGTCATGAGCTCTTCGGAATAAGCAGCAGTGACATCGCCTAGAAATAAAGGAGTAAGTTTCCTAATTTTAAGGGTTAAATACCTCCATGGATTTCATCTTCTTATTAAAAACCAAAGCTTCTCAATATATTTATATATATATATTAAATTCTCAATATATTTACATACATCTATTAAGTCTATATTTCCATATATCTATTACATATTAAATATAAATATGTCAGTTATACTCAATAAAACTGAAAAAAATACAAATTTAAAAATAAATAAGTGCATTATAAGAAAAAAAAAAGATTCTCAGTCTATTGGTAATTGCCACAGTCAGAAAGCATCTCTTAAAAAGCAGGCTATGAGGTCCAGATGGATTATATTAGCAGAAATGATCAGATAGATCTGCTTCTTACTCTTATAGTCAAACACGAGAGTTTACCTAAGGTCGTGCGGGGTGGGGTCAGTGGAGAGACATCATTAACTTATATTAATAATCAACCACTACAGGTTGGGTAATTAGAGCCCAGTAGTGAAGTAGAGCTTCATTTTGCAAAAGGTGTATATTCTACAAGGAAGATAATTAGAGAAAGAGGAAGAATTTAAAGCCAAAGAACCAATCCTTTTTTAATAGGCCATTTAACTGCCACTAAAACACAATTTCTAGATTCCTGCAACTACTACCTGTAATTCACCAATATATTTAGAGCAGTGCTGGAATATAGTAGATCTCTGTAAGTATCAGCTCTTATTTGTAGACATAAGAGTCAAACTGTTTAGAAATTTGCTTTTGTTAGATAACACCCATGGCTTGCTCTAAGCAAAAATCCCTAGCATCCCAAAAGTGACTGGGGTTTGCTTGTGGTGGCAGAAGGTATTGAAACCTTAGGATCCCTTGGCTAAGTGGCAGACAGAAAAATGAAAAATGATGGAGGCTTGAGACAGGGATGGGCAGAGATAAGACCACTGCTTAGTTCATGAAGCTTTTAAATCCCTTCTTTTTCTGTTCAATCTAAATTCAAATAAGATTTAGATTTATTATAATCTTGATTCAAAAGTCCTCTATGGGAACTGAATCGTCAAAGATAAAAGGAAATGGTTAACTTCTTTCTTGCCACCACATCCATCAAATCCTTGGAGACACCAAGGAGCTTGTCCTCTTTAGAAAAGCCCAGAGGCTGGTCCTAGTGATCAGATTAGGGTGGCCCTGTGGGCTGGAGCTATGTTGATACTCAACCAGTTCCATCTCCTGATATCAATTTTGCTCGTTTCAAGTAACTTTGGGCAAAGTTTACTCCACCCCAGAGAACAACACAACAGAAGTCTCCTCAGATGTATAAGTTACCACAGGACATTCCTATGCAATGAGCTATAAACAAAGAAAAGGAGGTAGGGAGAGAATTCTACATTTTTTAAGACAAGAATCCTTACTTGTGGCCTCAGTAGTTTGTTCCTCAAAGTTGCTGGTGGTTGATTCCTCATGAGTAGACGATTCTAGGAAAACAAAATGGAAGATGTGTATGATCACAATCTTATATTAGGGAATCAAGTACACTGGAGGCTTTCCTTCAGGATGCAAAAGATGGGAACCCAACAACTCCTGCCCAGGCCTCCTCCAAAGCCAGAACCCTCACTTACTTACCAATAGGCTCTGTGTTCTCCAAATATATGTCAGTGGTCGATTCTACATCACGAATGATTTCTAGGGCACTGGCTGACTTGACATCACTGCCCAACTCTAGATCAATGGTTAAGTCTAGGTCAGAGGCCAAGTATAGGGAAGAGGTTGACTCTATGTCAGTGGCCAACTCTGGGTTATCAGTTGATTCTAGGTCAGTGTTGAAATCTGAGTTGGTGGTTGACTCTGGGTCAGCAATAAATTCTAAAAGAGGCAAAAAAAAAAAAAGAGCAGTTCAGATGCTCTGCAGGAAGAATATTTTCACCACCTCTATACCCTCCCTATTCCCAGCTAGACCTCTTTCGGGGATCAGTGTGGAACATAAAAGGGTTTATTCAATCACATGTAGTCTCACCACAAGTCTTCTTTGCTGCCAACTGCTAGAAAGTCCAGAAAACTGAATGCCACCCAGGAGTATGCTCAGTGTGCCCTACACCACCCTCCTGTGAGGGGGGTCAATAAAGAAGCAGTATTTGGTATCGTGTCTCTAAATGTGAATAGGTCAGCCAGGAACAGAATGAAAACTCCGAAGAGTCCCCATCTGTAATCCTTCCAGGTTCCTGAAAACTGAAAAAGCATGAAGGAGCAGGGGGCAGGGACAGCCGCTGCTTCCCAGGTGCACAAGCAAGAATGGAATCTACGCTGGGCCACACCTACCAATTTTTTTTTACTTAACTGGCTCTATCTAGGACCTCATTTTCCAGTCTTTCCCATCCCAGACATTTTAGGGCTTACTAACCATAAAAGCATCCTAACTGTGTAAGCCTGCTGAGCATACAACAAGGGTGTTCTGGGGCTGTGGTGAAAGGTACTCAGTTATTGTGGCTGCCTAATATGGGCAAGCAAGCTATGGGGCCCCTGCCAGGGAGGCCAAAATCATTAGCTCTCTAATTAAGTAGCTTTGCTTTATCATTCATTCATATGCAGTGCAAGTCTCCAAACCCAGCACCTGATATACTGAGAGAGCTACCCGAGGAAGAGATGAGGAGGATGGGAGAGAGCAACTGTTTTAATGCAAATGAACCAACACCCTCCTCCTGAGAAACCTAACCGAATTCAGGAAGAACTAGGGAAAGGAAGCCTTTGGAGGGAAGCTTCCTTCTCTAATCCACGAGGACACCCACTTCTTTCCTTTCTCGATGTGGTTCGTGTTTCCCTCCCAGACACACTGGCTGCCAGTGCAGGGGACTGAGCTACCTGCGAGAGCACCTTGAATTTCACCTACTATAAAATGAGGATACACCCTGGGAGTCTGTCCTCCAGAATTAAATAGAGTAAAGCCTCTGTAGCACCCTGAGTGAGCAGGACCACAGAAAACCTCAGTAATCACCTACCCTGGTCCCATCTGGCCCAGCCTTATTACCTTTATGGGGTCCATTCAAACACCTAACCCAAACCTAGTGTAGCTACCCAATTACCCAACATCTCACCTCAGCGGCCCATCCCCACTTTATCAAAACTTATTTGCAACCGCGGGTCTCTCTGTTGCTTTCTGTGTGCGCGCACACAGGCCCAGGCACAGACACACGCACACACCACGGAAGCGTCTCGGGACCGTTCTCCGTGAGACCTCCCAGTGGCCCACTTACCCTGGGGTAGTGCGGGGAGAGCCACGGCCAGGGCTGCCCAGGCGGAGAGGAGGAAGGCCTTTCTGAGCATGGTGCCGGCAGCTAGCTCACCACGGGAGGCAGGAAGGAGGCGGGCCCGCGCTGTGCAGACCGAGGGCCCGGCTGGGCCTTTATAAACCTTCAGCCCCAAGTCCCTGAAGGCAGCATTCCCAGGTGACTGTTAAAAAAAAAAAAAAAAAAAAAAAGGTAAGCCTCGCCCACACAGGGCGAATGCCCCGGGGCGAAAGCGTGTGAAGGGAACCCGGGGGAAGAAGAAGCACGGAGAGTTTGGAGGAAAAACTCAAGGTTCTTGGCGAAATTGGGGGGCATTGCCCCATTACCACGAGCGCCAGCTGTTCGCTTCTCAACGGGCAGAGCAGGAATTCTAGTTTCACTAGATCGCAGACAGTGCACTCCCCTTGTCGCCGATTTGTCGCCTAGCCTGGATCCACGTACTGCCCTGATGAGCCCTGGTTGCTGCTGTCGGGATGCTGGACCGAGGCCCTGGTCAGAGCCTGCTGGCTACTCAAACTCTAAGGAGGCTCTGCTGCGGTCTTCCAACGCCAGCAGGTTCCTCAGAGAATTGTCTAAGGCAGTAATAATGCCTATTACTTCTACTACAATAACAGTGACAGAAATACCTAATCGTATCACATATAATAAGATTTCACATGGGCTACTATCTTTGATTCGTACCACGATCCTATGTGGGAGGCTTTATTATCCCCATTTTCCTGGTGAGAAACGAAGCCGAGAGACTAAATGACTCCAGGTTCCTGGGCAGAGATTCGCTCTGGTGAGGTGGCAGGAACTGGGAGCCCTTGGCCATGCGGGCCTGGCTCCTAGGGTGACCGCCCCAGGCCCCTAGGGGGCACTGTGGAGCTGCACTGCGTCCCGGGTGGAGGCACCGACGCCAGCCCGCACAGGAGATGCAAAACTGGCTGAGAAGATGCGAGGCTGCGGGGCTGGCTCACACAAGTCAGCCTAAGCGCTCAGTTAAAAGTCATGACCCTTACCTGGAAAGGAGGTCGTTACTGCATATGCACAAGTCCCCTCACAGGGTCGAATTCCCAAGATGCCTGTAGGTCTGTTTTCTTTATTTAAAAGTGGCAGCTGACCCCTGCTCCTCAGAAAGCACAGGGTTGACCACAGCAGTGAGAGAAACGCCTCAGTAATAATTGCTAATGTCCACCAAGTGCTAACGATGTGCCATAGGCATCTATTATGCCATGGGGCACCAAACCCAAGGTAGTCTCATTATTCTCCGTTCTGGAGGAAGAAAACCATGGCACAGAGAGGTTGGGAACTTATGAGAGGTCACACAGATTGTGTTATAGAATCAGGAAGCAAACCTGTGGGCAGTCTGATGCTGGGGTCCATGTTGTCAGCCACTCTACTGTTTGTTGCCCCAGCGCAGTTATCCTCTTGATCTCATCTGCTGGCTTTGTCCTACGAACTGGGCCACTGTTCACAGGACGAAGTCTTCACCTAAAGCAGGAGGGAAATATACCCACACGCGCACGCACACTTGCACACACACAAACACACAAAGAACACCTTGTTTCTTTGGAAACTATTTCCTTGGCAAGCCCTGTTCAATAAACTGTTACCCAAACACAATAGTCAGGAGCTTGGAAAGCAAGAAGCTCATTTAAAAAGTTGAAGGCAAATAATACCAGCAAACAATAAGACTCAGATGAGAAAAGTATTTTGAAAAGTCACTGGGCAGTGGAAGCGTCAATCTGACCCACATTAGCCACAGTATGGGAATACTCCCTGTGCCAGAGAAGTGCAGGAATCAACATCCAAATGTGTGAAATAGAATCTCTGAACTCGGAGGAGAGCTGGCCTGAGATGCTGAGGTACCAAACGGGTGGAAATGGCCAACTTCCTCTGGAAGCTTTGTTTTGCAGCTCAGCCTCCTAAAATATAAACACTGCCTTAGCTGTTTTTCCAAAGGTCACAGTGCCATTTTTATGTGCCTCAGTTTTCCCCAGAGTAAGTGAAGGAGCAACTTCCGGGTGACTTCTATATTGAAATATGGGAACAATTTGGTTCCTTTCATGAAGACGATTCCCTCTCTCACCACCTGAGTATTGTTAGGGAATTGGCACAGTGGGTCCCAGAGAGGAGCTAGGCCTCTGCTCAAGTGAAGTCTAATAAAATCATGAGGTTATAATTATAGGATCTTTTTTATTTATATGGGGTTATAATTCTGTTGTTTATTATTAAATTTTTTTACTTTCTTAACTTTAATATGTTATCACATATTGCAGAATCATGTCATCTCAAGGCTTGAAGGTATATCAAATCATATCCAGCTCATTCAGATATCCAGTGTCTTTTTTTTTTTAATGTAAGTATTTTTTTTCCTTATATACACCATCTGTCAGACGACATGACTGCCTTAGGGATGGGGAACTCACTACCTTGAGAAGAATAGTCCATTCATCTTTGGATAATTATTCCTTCTGATAGCTAAAAATACACTTGTTATTTCATCCTATATGCCCCCATTTTATTCTTGGGGGCCATGTATATAAAATTAGGTCCTCCTCTCTTCAGATATCAAAAGTAGCTATCACTTTACTTTCCAATTTCTTTAACATCCTAAAAAATATGTAAAGTTTTTTCCCAACTTTTTCTCAAACATCTCCATCACTCAGCACAGTGTCTGGCACATTGGAGGTGATACAAATATTTACTAAATGAATGACTAAATGACTCCTAGCCACTAGTCTCTTATCTCATTTGGCTGTGGTCTTCTAAAAAGAAAACAGTAGAATTAAAATATTACAGATTTGATGTGATTAGGGTGGTGGAAAGAAAAACTATCACCATCCTTCTGGAAAATATGTGCTATTAATTTGATTGTATTAAATTGATTTGTACATTAAATGTTAAGTTAAATGCTAAGAGCTAGGCCTGGCAGAAAGTATGGAAAATTTCTTGAAACATTAAAGAACTCAGAAGCCTTTGCTTCTACTTGTTGAGACCAGTTTCTGGCAATTGACCTGAGCTGGGGGAGAGTATCCTACAGATGTGTCTCTGTCCCTTCCTAACTCTCACTCTACAACAGACACAAGCTCAGAAGCATCTGGGAGTATGAGGCCAGGCATGTGACCCAGGGCAATGAGCGCTGTTCATTCCAAACCCCACAGAACATTCTCCCCTTAGGGAGCAGTTTCCAGAGACCAAGACCCAGCTTTCTCCCTGAGGAACAGGGATCCAGAGTCGGATAAAGATGTTGTGACCTGGGCCATCTGACCTCACAGATTAGATAAAGATAAGGATTAGCCTGTCTTTTAGGGTCATATTTTCTTTTCCAGAATTTTTCCTGCATCTGTTCAGTGACCTAGTAATTATACCAAAGTACCTTGAGCAATTCAAAGGAAGCCCAAAACTAGATTCCTCTTTTAAAGCTATAACTAAGGAATAAGTCAATATAAATATATTACAGATACAGTTTATAACAAGATACTAAGAATAATGCAAAAATTATACAAGAAAGATAGATGATTGATAGATTTTAAGAAGATACGAGAGATTTTTTTTTTAAGTCTATTTAACAAATGTTTACATTCACTTCACAGAGTGACTGTGAACTGCAAAGGAGAAAAGACACAAAGCAAAGAAATCAAAATCATAGATTCTGGGTCCAACAGTCTGGTTATAAATCCTGATTCTGCCAGTAATAATTAGGAAACCATGGTCAAGTTTCTTAGCTCATAGGACTTGTTTTCTCTTCTAGGTGATGGAGATAAAAGTAGTTTTTACTTCTTTGGATTATTCTGAGGCTAAATTAAAGTATTCGTGTAAAATGCCTAGAATAAAAAAAGTTCATATTCAAAATTAGCTAATATTATTAGGTGCTGAAGATGAAAAAGGCCCAGGTCCCCAGTGAGTTGATGACACTGTTTCATAGCAGGAACATGAAGAAGCAGCACTGCCTCGTAAAGTTTCATGGGGAAGATGGAACAAGTTGAAGTAAGAGTGGGATTCATTGGAATTTAACAGACTTATTTCTGCATTTATAAGAGACGGAAGGTAAACAGAAGGCTCTAGACGAAAGGAAGTAATAGTATATTGGAGGGGCAAAAATGTACCTGTACCTGAGGGTGTCACATCATGTCAACTATAATAAATTTAACAACATAAAGGAAGAACATACTTTTCCCTAGACTATAAACCACTGAAGGCAGGAACCCTCTTAACTTTGCATTGCCCATTCCTACAGAGTCTGTTAATAATGCTGTATGCATAGCAATTGTCACATAAATTATTATTCACATGTGTTGAATTCTAACATAGGGTAGGTGGGAAAGCAGTATCAAATCTGTCATTTAAGCAGTAGAATAGTGGCTAAAATCTTGAGTTCTGGACTCGTTGTCTCAGCATGAATTTAAGTCCTTGTGAGATTCTATTTGATCGTTCAGTTTTCTTCATCTGCAAAATATGGGTGATGATAACAATCCCTCCCCAGGATTCATGAGAATCAATGATTGTATTTGATTTGTCAAAATAGCTATTACTTTACTTTCCAATTTCTTCCCTGGAATTAATGATTGTATTTGAAAACTAGTTAGTGAGAATGAAATGAATTCATCTTACTTTCCAATTTCTTCACTGGGATTGATTGTATTTGAAAACTAGTTTGTGAAAATGAAATGAACTCATCTGTGTACCTGGTAACTGGCATACAGCAAATGATCAGTGATTGGCCCTATCATTATTACAACTTGAAAAGGACCTTGAAGAATGAATTAAAATGGTCAGATTAACGACTTTCATTAAAGAGAATTTCACCACTGGAGATAAACAAGAGGGGAAAGGGGGCAGTAGAAGAAAAGGTGGTGAGAGAAAGTAAAAAATGGCATTTAGGAGACTAAGGAGAGCTCCAAAAGCCAGAGAGTTGAGTCATTATTCTGCCAGCAAATGGAATGGTCGAGGGTATTAAACAGAAATTGGCGTGTAAGACTAAGGAACCCTGCGCAGAGAGAAAGCAGGTCAGCCCCGACCCCACACGGGCAGCCCCTCCTAGGGCTGTGTGCGGGACAAGAGGGGCTGAGGCGTCAGGCATCTCAGGGGCGGGATCTGGGGCCTTGGCGGTGGCTGGGTGCTGGGCAGGGCACCCTCACCGGAGGATGTGTGCATGCTTCAGAGACTTGGCTGTCTAGG